AGGAGCCACAAAGTATTCCAGGAATGGTTCTTATTTTTCTAGAGTAGTGAATGAGCAAATCTTATTGTTCACGAAGTCTCTATATGGAAGACTTAATAGTGGTAACTAGAATGTGACTTGGGCAAGCATCCTAACATTGTCTCCAGTTAGATGTGGTGCTCAAATTCTGCAGAGAAATGTTTATTTGGGCTATTGATAGATAGCAGTTGTCTCTAAATGTAAGATACCTCAGTTGTTATTTCTACTGCATTGTAATGTGGAGCTCCCAGGCAGCTCATTTCTTTCTTACTTGTTTACTTAACAATGATTTCAATGTAGAGATAAGCTTTTTTCCCCCCGAATTTAACAGATGACCATTCACTGTGATTATAAAATTGTAGTAATTTCTAACTCAACGATTTCAAAGTATGAGATGAAGTTCTCTTTCCCGGATTATAGGAGATTTAACTCAATTTCACTATGGTTATGAAATTGCATTCAAGATTAGATCTTGGAGTGTACTTCGATGTAATTCTTGATGGTGCGTTGGTGTTTTTTGCTATTATTTGCATGACATGAAACCTTCAGTCATTTGGTAGTAACATCTAACAATTTCTGAATTTCCCAGATGACGTGCCTCCTTATGCCACTTCAGATGAGAGAATTGTTGAAATTCATGGAGAGGGCTTGAAGGTGCTTGATGCTTTGGAGGCGGTATTGGGACAACTGAGAAAGTTTTTGGTTGATCATAGTGTGATACCTATATTTGAAAAGACGGTAAGTTTGATCCTATTGGCTGTTGGCTGAAGCATAATTGTCCAAATGTGTTTTACTAATACATGTTCTACTGCCAGTGCAATGCAAATATCTCTCAAGATCGGCCAGCGGAGTCCTGGGCTGATAAATCACAATCCTCAAATTTTCCACCTTCTGTTCCTGCACCTACATCCCAAGCTCTGGCAGTTTCTGATTATTCTCTTTCCATGAACCGAGACACTTACTTCCTTGATCGTGATCCCACTCTGGACTCTAAGCTTCGGCCCTCTACACTATCTCTGTATGGACAGGATCCTGGACTTGGTGGCTTGCGAACTTCTGTAGCTGGCCGAACTGGTCCCATTGTAACACAGGTCAGTTTCACGGATACTCTATGTCTCCATTAGCTGCTAGTTTGATGGAAATTGTGGTTTCTTTATGGTTTATGTTGGTCCGATTATGTAGTGGAGAACGATGTCTATACAATGCGAATGTAAGTTATCTGTATACCTATTCAATAGCGTGAAATGAATTTTCAACAAGGGAGTGTGAGGCTTGAAATTTTAAGACCTGAAAGAATGGTTCGATCAAGCAGCTGAGTATTGAGTATTGGAAACAGGCTATAGCCCTTAGTCCCAGTAATTAATATTGAAGCACATAATCAATTGAAGCTCACAAGATGTTTCGAACAAAAGAAGGCCCTGTTTATTTATTATCCTTTATTTAGAGTTTTAGTCTATATTTTCTTAATGTATAATTAAGATATCAAATCAGTTATAACTAAAAACGAATCATGAGATTGAGGGTCGTAATTATATTAATCTTGGTGGTTTTATATTGGTGGAGGATCTTGGTGGGTAAAGTGAGTATTTTTACTTCAACTGTACCTTGATTTGGACCACTTGCTTTATTACCTTTAATAGCTGTTTGTGGGAGAGCCCCCCGGGGGTTCCCTACGTCGAAGAGTTTGAGTAACAACTTTGGGGTTCAAGGTTTGAATCACAACGTATGCAACTTTTCCATCTAGCTAAGCTTTGGTGGCGGAATACTTGATACCTATCCTGGTGAGAGTTAGAAGCTACCCGGTGGATACGTTGAAGTGAACTCAAGTTGGCTTGAGTACCACCGTTAATGGAAATAAGAGTGCAGGTTTTAATTGGAATTTATCCTAGTTGTGTTCTCCTTTGTTTCTTTCTCTAGATTTTCTTATTTTCTTTGAGCGGGTGTGGTTGGGTGGGGCTGTTTTCAGTTTTTGCATGAGCATCATGCTGGCTTCTGCATTTTATTGATTCATATAAGTTAATTTATGTTTAGTTCAATTTTTGTAAAGTGTTACTGGATTCCATTCTGTTTTAGTATCCTGCTCTTAAACTTGAATGTCTAGCAGTTCTATTCCTTCTTTCTGCTTTTGCCATTAGCCTAAGGATTTGGCCACTACCTAAATCTATTTAATGCGCTGTATCAGCTCTGATATATGGATCACTTCTTTCTCTCTCTTCTTTTTCCCTCTCAGATGACAAAGGTAATGCAAGTACCCCTGTCGTATGCTGAAGATATCATTGGTATTGGAGGAGCCAATATAGCATATATTCGCCGCACAAGTGGGGCAATTCTTACTGTGCAAGAGAGCAGAGGCTTGCCTGAAGAGATAACTATAGAGATTAAGGGTACCTCGTCAGAGGTTCAAACAGCCGAACAGCTTATTCAGGTATGGAGCTCATCTTTAATGGTCAGACCATCCCCATGCACCTCACCTTTTATGGTCAGACCATCCCCATGCACCTCACCTTTCCTTTTATATATTCTGTGGACACAAGTAATTTGTTGTTTCATACAAGTCTATAGCAGGCAATCACGGTCCTTTAGCTGGTCGTTATTCGTTCATGTGTCTACTCTACGTGATCATATTCTTTCTGGAACTTCTTTTCTTGGACCTGTTACAAAAGATCAAAATATGTTAGAACTTTATGTGGTTTAGGGTGTTGAGAACAAAACTTTGTGGTCTTAAGCTCTCTGCAATTTTGGTTGTTGCAATCTATACACATGGATTATATCCTTGTTTAGGGAGAGGAACTCTAGGTGGGCGCGGTGGAGAAATCTCTAGCAGCGATGATGAAAACAGATAACAGTAAAACTCAAAGAAACAAGGAATTCAATAAAGCATTCAAGAACTAGTCAGAAACTAGAAGATAGAATTAGAAGAGGGGAGGATTTAGAAGAAAGGAAGGACAAGAATAATCATATTAGCATTCAGTTACTAGATTCAACCAAAGGGAGAAGAGACATTGAACTGGTACATGGAAATCCTTACCTAGGAGAATCCAAGAGAGGTTCAATTGAAGAGATATAAGGGGTTCTTTCTCAAACTCTCACAAGAGCCTCAATAATCATATCATTAAAATTAATGAACTAAAAATTCTAAGGAGTCTATTTATGCTAGCTATTACAATGGGCATAGATAAATACCCAGAATACCCTTCTAGGCTAAGATTTGGAATTAATAACTAGTTGGGCCAACTTCTTTTTGGGTTTGTCCTCTTCCTTTAAACATCCATTTGAGTATATTATGGAATTTAAGATCTTCCTTCCATGCTCCTTTGAAGCTCTGTAAGCACTTAATGATTGCAAGAAGGCCCCAAAGCCCATGATAGCTACTTTGGCAGTGACTAAATACCTTTCCAAGTATGATTCCACCCAGAATTCAAGGAGTTTGTTCTATTTGTTACCAATGGCCCGTTTTGGTTATAGGTCTAAATTAATCAGACCTTTTGAATAAATCAGTTTTATTTGAATTATCATGTTTTACTAAAAATCACTTTCCTTCTCTACTTTTTCCCGAACTTGTTTGGGACTGAGGCGTTGTTGTTGTATACAAAATCACTATATATGAAATAATTACAACAACAACAATTACATCTAAGTCCCAAACACGGGCTGATCTACTATTGAAGTTGTGTTCGACAGAACCAGTAGCTTGGCACAGACTTTGTAATTGTGTTATGAAATCTACTTAATATGTATAAATAATCCATCCAGTACCTAGTTAGTATAAAAATGTGGTTCCAAAACCTATAAAGTTAAAATTCTAGATACGCCTTTGTCAAAACAAGTTGGGGTCGGTTATATGTATCTTCAGACTATGTTACTCAATACAAGCTCATCTCAAGGCAATATTATCCAAAATCAAAAATAATAATAACAAAAATAAAACTAAAAGTATTTTATCAAATAATTAATTGCTTATTATTTTGTTTAAATTGATTAATTGTTAATCACCTTTATCTAAATAAACCAGAAATAGATGTAGAATCAAATCAGACCTTGAGCCAGGTATTTTAAGGAAAATAGAAATAATGCAGCCATACCTTTCCCTTTTTTCTGATTTGAGGTCTCCTTATCACTGGGTATGATCGGCTCTACATGTTTCATTGATACATTGAGGAAACAAAATATTAAAGGACAAATATGATAAATAAGATAAGAAGACGAGGAAAAATGTTGATAAAGCACGACTCATATTTCTTTAACTAGCTTTTACTTAGTTTTTCACTTGCTCTTGTGCAGGAGTTCATTAGCAACCACAAAGAGCCAGCCCCGAGCATATATGGGATGGGTGAGCCTGGATTTGGTTCTTTTTCACGTTTCAGTGACTCCTATTCATCATCTTCGTTTCAATCTCAGCGTTTAGGGGGGTATGGATCTTCTAGTATAGGTGGATACAACAGTTTTAGATACTAAGAGCGGGTAGGCTTTAGAATAGTTCCTGGGAAAGGTTCTCTTTTACAACTTGTGGAACCCTACTTTAAAATGGATTCATGTATGTAATTAACTTTCTTAAATTCTAATGAAAAGTTAGTATCGAAACTTAGTGGTAGATAAAAGTTATTATTGTCACCCTGCTTTTCTCTCTTTAGTTACTATTTATTCTCTTTATGCTTCTGGTTCATCTTTTGCGTAACATCTAGAGAATGGCGAGGGTTTCCTTGAGTTTTTGCCAAATTTCTCCTGTATGTTTGGTAGTGGAACTAATGTCCTCCTCCAAACACCTTGAGCACTTTTCGTCGTCTAAGTTTGCTAAACTTGAGCAGATAAGTCCAATTAACGTAACACAACTATTGAACCAGGTAAACTAAAGGAAGAAATCCTTTAGTGACTTTAACTTGAGAGGTAAAAGAAACCCCAGTTATCCCAACTCCTGATTCCGTTCTTCCCCTTTTCCTCAATTCACTATTTCCACCATTGAATTTCTCTCTGCAAAATAAGCAGTACCCCATATATGTTCCAAGAATGAATGCTCCAGTGTCGCATACTCCTATATGGTTGCAGTTACTGTTTCTCTTGGAGTATGTTTCCCTCATTTTTATCATCTGTGTTGGCTTAGGAATGGTTTTTCTTAAGATGTTTGGAACAAGTGTGTTGTAATCGTGAAAAGATAACTAGAGTTGGGAACCACGAGGAAAACTCTAGTAGCAGCAGTAGCCGCTGTACTTTGTTAAAACTAAGATTATATGATGCATTATCTATACCAGAGATGCACGGCTTAGATGAGGATTCAAGAACTCCAGAGTGCGTGCAACACTTTACACGAAGTTTAGATCTGCTACTAACATACTTATTCCATTTCACAATAAGTGATCATTTTACCTTCTTATTTTGGTCCAAAATAAGTGTCAATTTACATAATCAAGAAGGAATTATTTTTATTTTTCCAAAATTTGCCCTTATTTACATATTTTAATGTGTCAAGGTAACAATTAATTAAAGTTAATTTAGTGAATACATCTTTTTTTTTTTTATCTAGGACTTCGTATTTTCTTAATGGATGTGTCAAAGGTAAAATGGTCTTGTGGACCGAAAGGAGTATTATCACTACGTCCTCACGTGTCTCTTATTATAGCCCCATGCACCTGGAAATTCAGTAAAGTTGAGCCATTTATCGAATTTAGAAAATCGTACCTGGAGCTCAAACGTCAACAAAAAGTAAAATAGTGAAGGGAAAAGAACTCAAGATTTATGCAGAGGCACTTGGTGCGGGATCAATTTATTCTTCTGGGTAGTGCTTGTTAGTTTGTTATTTTTGTTGGACTATATCTTTTTAGCTTTGTCAAAGTTAAAGGACAAAAAGTATTTTGAGATTCTAATTAAAGGACAATATTAGGTACACTTACAAATAAAATGGATAATTTTAGCTAAAATCAGTGTATTAAAAGACATTTTTGGGGCGAGCCTATTGGAGCTATCTTGGGGGCAAAAGTATCGCGAGGCGTTAGCTCCATTATCAGGTGAACGCTTAGGAGTCGGGCGAGTTTGTCTTAGGGTATAAGCCTGGAAAACCTTTCCATATTAGACTTAAAATTGTAAAATAAGTCCTTAATTTAATAATTAAAAAAAAAAACACAAAAGTTAGCTTATTATAAAATTCAACAAAGTAAAACTTAAAAGTCAATTTTTTTTTATGTTAGCGCTAGTTTTTATTCTCTCTTTGACTTCGACCGATAAAGGGGAAAACGATCCATTTGCAAATTACAAAGAAAAAAATTCGTCATCCTCCATCACTTGCTTTGATTCAACGCTTCTGCTTAGGGGTGTAAGTCTGTCGAGTTGGTTCGGATCAATTATCAGAGCAAACCAATGGTATCGGGTTTTTTAATTTATAAATCAAATCAAACCAAACCAACAAGGTCGAGTTTTTCAATCTCGGTTTTTCTCGGGTTTTTCGGAGTTTTTTGGATTTTCGTTATTTTTAAAGTCTTTATAGCATAAAATATGTAACTTGTGCTCCAAATATTTCTTAGTTCTAGTAAAATACAACTATATACTGTGTTTTCCAAGAAACTAATACAATAATATGAGATAAGTCATAAAATTATACTAAAATATTCAATAACAAAGATAAAATAATAAAATTACATAAAACAAATATTTCTAATTAATAAGCCATAATAAAAATTAACATAATCTAAAAATACTATATAGGTCATGCTAAAATAAATATAACTAATAATTACTAATTTAATTACATAACTAAGCACTAAAGAAAAAGATAAACTAAGTTATGCATTTTCATTATTATAACCAATGTAAAACTAAAATAATTATCCAACACTAGCGTCATTCCTAGTATTGAATTGATTTTTTTTTTGTTAGCATTAGTATTGATTTGAACTTTGTTTGAGTTACTACATTTATGGGCTATAAAATTTATTTACCACTCAAGAATATTAAGTCTAAACTTGAAATAATACGTTAAACGATAAAACTGTGAAAAAGTTTAAAAAATATTTATAAATTACATTACAATAAATATTTATATGTATAAAATATTTTTAAAAATTCTATAAATGTATTATCGGGTTGGTTTGGTTTCGGTTTGATTTTTTTTAGTTAAAACCAAACCAAACCAATTATGGTTGGATTTTATTTTTCAATACCAAAACAAATCAAACCAAACCATATCGGATTTTTTTTTTTCGGTTTAACTCGAATTATCGGTTTGGTGCGATTTATCGGTTTTCTTTGTACACCCCTACTTCTGGTTGTAGGTTCCTGTTTCGTTATGTTTTCAAGTTCTTTTCTTCTCTTTCAAGTTAGTTTATAAATACTTACTCAATAATTCAGATTATTTTTTAGATGGAATAGTTCTAGTTAGTTTTTAGTCAATTATTGATCTGATTAGCATTTTAAGATGAAACAATTCAGTGTGCATTTTCACTTATCTTATTTTTTCTTAAAATTTCTATGTGATTTTTCCTTTTTAGTATTTATTTTTAATAAAATATTTTAAATTAACAAAGATCAATGGGGTTTACACCCAGTAAGAAAAGTGGAATGCTATATTTCCAGGATTGGGATTCGTAAATATGTTAATAGATTCTTGATCTACTTCTAGGCTTACGCCTTATCCCGAATCATGTAAAACATCTTGTCTTGCGCTTGCACCTTTTAAAATACTGCTTAACACACAGAATAATAAATTACAATTTAATTAACAACATAATCCCCACCTAGTTTTATCTAGAAGGTAATCACACTGTGAATTTCTAAAGGTACATTTTTCTTTTGAGATAACTTGAACCCTTATCTGAATCTTAAACTAATAAATGGAGTTAATCTTGTATTTAGGTATTCTAACACACCTCAACCTATTAGGTGACTCCTCTCTTTTATAGAGTTGTTACATGTCGAACTATGCCTAAAAAAATGAGCTGCGACAGTGACCCTACACTATCACTACTTCAAGGGAAGGAAAGTGTTGCCTTAGCTTGTGTCAAGATTTGATAACCGTGCACTAACACTACTTCAAGTTCACTTCAACCAAGTTCACTTAAAGGACTGTCAACTTCAAAATATTCCTTTGATCAGATTGCATCTATTATACTTTTCGTTAATTGTACAACGTTATTTAAATTGATCAGACCCCTTTCAGCTAGCTCAGCTAGTGTGGTTCCTCCAGTTTTCAATTCCAGCCTAATAGCGCCAACTTGGGGTGTACAAAGAAAATCGATAAACCGAATCAAATCGATAATTCGAGTCAAAGAGAAAAAAAAAACTCGATGTGGTTTGATATTGGAAAATAAAATCCGACCATAATTGATTTGATTTGGTTTTAACTAAAAAGAGTCAAACCGAAACCAAACCAACTCGATAATACATTTATATAATTTTAAAAAATATTTTATACATATAAATATTTATTGTAATGTAATTTATAAAATATTTCTTAAACTTTTTCACAGTTTTATCTTTTAACGTATTATTTCAAGTTTAGACTTAATATTCTTGAATGGTAAATAAATTTTAAAGCTCATAAATGTAGTAACTCAAAAACGTTCAAATCAATACTAATGCTAACAAAAGAAATTCAATTCAATACCAGGAATGACGATAGTGTTGGATAATTATTTTAGTTTTACACTGGTTTATAATGAAAATGCATAACTTAGTTTATCTTTTTATTTAGTGCTTAGTTATGTAATTAATATTAGTACTTATTAGCTATACTTATTTTAGCACATATATAATATTTTTAGATTATGTTAATTTTTATTATGGCTTATTAATTATCAATATTTATTTTATGTAATTTTATTATTTTATCTTTGTTATTGAATATTTTAGTATAATGCTATGACTTATCTCATATTATTGTGTTAGTTTTTTGAAAAATACATTATATAATTGTATTTTACTAGGACTTAAGAAATATTTGGAGTACAAGTTACATATTTTATGCTATAAACGCTTTACCGAAAAAACCCCGAAAACCCAAAAAAATTCAAAAAACCCGATTGAAAAATCCGACTTTCTTGATTTGGTTTGATTTATAAAATTAAAAATCCGACACCATTAATTTAGTTTGATAATTAAAAAATTCGAACCAACCTGACTTATGTACGGCCCGGCGCCAACTATTGAGAAGCATTTTGCAAATCCAAATGTTATCAACTACTTGGAGAGACATGACATGATCGTTAACCTAAAAATGAAAGGTGCCTGACCAGTGAACCAAGATGCAATTTGTTATACATATATATACACACACGCTTCAACCAAGGTAAATTCGCCACGTAGTTTCTTAAAGTTCAAGAACAAGGCCAACAATTTCTTAAATTATAATCTAACTAAGATATTTGGATTTAATTCCTATGCCCAAGAAGGGGACTGGAAAAAGAGTATATTAATTAATCGCTGATGTCACTGAGATAGCGACATGGAGATACTGTAACAAATTATGTATTGTTAACACGAGTCCGGAACCAAAATGTTGTCTTTTTTGACTCAAATTATCGAAATGCGTGAAAAAAAATAAATTTAATAATCAAAATACATATAACGTCTTTTTAAAGGACGCTATACCTTAACATTCAAAACGGACGTTAAAGTATAACACCCTT